CACACACACACACACACACACACACACACACACACACACCATCACAGGTGCTTCCTACACAGTGCTGCATGGGAGTGCAACCCAATGAACACAAATATGTTTTGAATGGTGAGGATCAACTGCCGGTGCACTCAGAGGAACGTTCCTCAAACATACTCACACAAGCACCTTTCAGGCAGGGGAAAGGCCATAGATGCCCAAAAAAAAAAAAAAAAAAAAAAAAAAAAAAAAAAAAAAAAAAATTTCTTCTATTTATTTCTCATTGATTTAAATGTTTTTTGTATTGTCACTATAAGGCCATTTTATAATTTCCCTTCGTGTCTTTTTCTACGTTTTGAATATTATACGCTACATTGTGAAACATGGGTCGGATTTCTTATCTAATTTTCCTATATGACCTTATTGTAATATGAACCTACTTTTTTATAATATTGGAAAATTGACTATGCATGTTTACCATTGGAAAAGCTCAGCCTTGTGTTTGTTTTTATATCTGGAGATCTAATTGACCTGAATTTGTATGAACTGAAGTGCGTAAGGTGTTGCTGGCATCTGATCTCTCCGATTTGCAGTTTTTTCTCTGGTGAGAGCCTGTCACCTCAGTATGTCTGATATAAATTTACCCGAATGAAAGTCTGAGGAACGAAACCCAGTGATGCTTAGCTTTTGCAAACATAAAAGCTTTCTCCCCTAAATGAAACCAGGGGGTGATTCCTGTATTCTCAAAAAATGTGTCAGGAAAAAAAAATGAATAGAACTAAATTTTGGGCGTCAAGTTGCAACAAGTGTGGGCCTGCATTACTATCCAAGGCCACAACAATTAGACAACTAATGTGAGTGATTTTCTGTTTGTTTATCAGACATTTTGTAAAAGTGCCAGACAGCATAGGTAAGTTGGAAAAGAATAAACAGTTAATATACAGTAAACATGGAATGAATATGATGAAGTCGATTACTTGCTAATGGGGTTAATGGTCTCTTAAAAGTTGACTAAAAGTTAAATGTTATTTATAGCCAGAACACAAGGTGATCAGGCAGCATTATGGGCAATATTCAAGAAGCAGTTACAATTATACACTACCAACCAAGATTATTCGTTGTGTGAAGGAAACATTGGCAGGACTCAGGAGACCATCATTCTCCCCTAAATACAACATTAATCAGAACTAAAACATCAGAGACCAAAGACAGCATACCTGAGCAGACAGGAACTGATGAGGCACTTGAGCACGTAAACCCTGGGAGGGATTCATTGGATGCATGCCAGGCTGGTGCATCCCTCGAGGCTGAGGCATCCCTCCGCCACTGCCAACAAACACCCCATGGCCACACATCTGGAGTACAATGGAAACCAAACAACCATACCAATGCATTTGTAATGCAACAAGTGATACGTTTTCTCATATCATAGTGCTTTCTTCACTCGGGTCCTCAAGTTGGCACAACTCGGCCATATAGCAGATATTAAAGGTGAAATAATACAAAATGGTAGCTAACTTTGAAAATAGAAGTTCTGTAAAACACTAGATGGCACAACAGTCTCGTACCTTTTCACCGTAGGGCCCCATTTCAACAGGGCCCATGTCTTTGGAACTAGGCATGCGGTAACCTCCTCCACCTCTTCCTCCCCTCCGCATCTCTCCATTATAATCAGTTATTCCTCTCTTGTCTCCTTCCATCTTTTTGTCAAGACTTGGGTCATCACCCTAAAAAACAACAAAGTCATGACCAGACGCGTTGATGGTGCCCACGTCAAACATCAATAACACGTAACATTTGCAATAGCTAGAGTTATTAAGATCATATTTTAGTGAATTAACATCTTACCAAAAGACCCATGTTTGAAAACTGGCGTGACACTGGGTTCATCCAGCTGTCCCCTCCTCCACTCTTTAGGAGAGAAATCCAAACATTACCCTCAGCAAAAAACAAATTGAAAAAGTGCACATGACAATATCGAGGAAAGTTACGAAACAAAATGTGTGCTTTGTGTTAATGCAATGAACCCAAAGTGGCCACGCAAACTCTAGTGCGTCCTTGAACCTCTAATTTTCCCTACCTTGATGTTGCCTCTCTTTCCTCCGTGAGTCTGACCCCAGCCTCCGGAATTGAAGGAGGAGCTGTTTCCCTGCGACACAGAGTTGTTCCAGACCCCTCCGCTGCCATCATCTTCCTCGTCCCAGCTGGGGTGACGGGAGGCTGCGACAGAGCCCTCTCCCTTCCCACCCCAGCTCTCCATTGATTTGGTGCCTGCTGGAAAATCAAAACAGATGGTTAATAAAGTGGCCTTATAATTTCTCTAGATGTCCTCCGTTTTTAACGTGTGCTTTGAAAATGCTGAACCCTTTTAAATTGAGAGATGTGTAATGTTGCTTGATTTGAGCACCACGTCTAAAATGACAATGAGCATAAATAACTCTGAAGTCATATCGCAATATTTTGAATTACACAGTTTATTTCTCTTCTTACCAGATTTGCCAGAGTTGGGTGAAGGGTTCCCCCAGCCAGAAGCTTTGCCGGGCTCCTCTTGATCACCCCAACCTGTTGATGCTTCGGACGACTGGCCCCAAGTAGCCGTACCATTATCCACAGATTGCGCACCTCTTTCCCACATGCCTGGACATGAAGATTGATGGCAGAGTAAAGAAAATGTGCAATACTTGACACGAACACTTCAAATGCTGATCTAGTTTGGTTGTGGTTTGCCAAATGCACACTTCTTTGTAATGGTACAACTTCTACTTACCCACTGTAGCACTGCCAGGGTTTGTGTCCCTGCTGTGCTGCATGCCCTGCTGCCTTCTAGGTGGTTGTTGTTGTTGTTGGATGGATGGTGGTGGTGGTGCTGGTGCTGGTGGGGCCTGCTGACCGTGGCTTTGGCCTGGCGTAGCACTCTTTTTGTCCCACAAATTCACATTCTTGCTTTTGAAGCGGGTCGGGTCTCCCCAGGCTGAAGTGCCATCGTCGATTTCCATTTTGCGACTGATGGACTGAGGGGAGGGTTCTTCCCAGCCACTGGGCTCCAGGGAGTCACCCCCGCCCCCAGAGATTTGGGGGATTGGGCCGGAGCTCCAGCCCGGGCTTTGGTTCTGATTCTTGGATGGTGGACCTCCACCTCCGACATTAGACCGGTTGTTCCACCCTCCTTGAATAGGACCTCCTTGTGGCTGCTGGCCCTGTGATTGGTGCTGCTGTTGATTTGGGGCTTTCATTGGTGCCACTTGGCTGTTTGGTATCGGTGCTGCTGCGTGGGGCTTTGAACTCCCCCAGTCCTGGTGGGGTTTGCCTCCACCCACATCTCCCCCTCCCCAACCTCCTCGCTGAGCTCCCCCTTCCTCCAAATGACCCCAGGAAGATCCCTTCTCATCAGAGTTGCTTCCACCTCTGCTTCGCCCATCTCCACACCCACCTCCAAGTATAGAGTCCCTCTGTCCCCTGTCTCCTCCCCAACCACCTGCCTCTCCTCTCCCAGCCCCCTTCCATCCCCCTGTCCCTTTATCCTCTGGACCATCTGCCCACCCACTACCCTGTTCTCCAAATTCTCTCCAGTTTCCTCCTCTTCCTCCTCCTCCTCCTCCTCCTCCTCCTCCTCTGTGATCACCCCATTTCTTTTCTTCAGTCCCCCATCCTTTGCCCTGGTTTTCAGGTGGGAGATCACCCCAGCCTCCAGCTGCCTTGCCCTGGTTGCCCTCTATATCTTCTTCTGGCTTTCCTGGCTTCCTTATAGTGCTACCGTGCACGTGAGGACCACAGGTGGACTGTGTAGTACCACCATCCCAGCCATCCCTCGCTGTAACAGGGCCAGAGTTCAGGTTGGTCGTGTGACTGCCAACAGATGGATCATTAGTTATTGAACTGGTGTTAGATGGGTAGCCAGGGCCGCGACTAGTGGTAGTGTTTATGGTTGCTGATGAGAATGCAGAGGAAGATGACGTGCTTCTGTCATTTCGGTTTCTTACTCCTGTTGTGGTAGCCAGGTCCCAGGCCACATTCTGTCGAATCTGGGTCTGCCCCCAGCCCGTGTTAGAGAGAACCCGGGGGTCTAGGTCAGATCGATTGAGCAAGCCGAGTAAGGCCACCTCAGCATTGGAGGTCTGGTCGGGACTTTTGTTTACAGACGAGGCGCTCTCCTGCTTATATCCATTATCACTCCCTCCTCCACCACTTCCAGCTATGGACCCTCCTCCGCTAGAGGACGAAGGTGCGCCACCTGCAGTGCCTCCACCCTGCCCTCCGCCTCCTCCTCCTCCCCACTCCCCAACTGTCCCGTCCCCACCTTCCATCCCTTTCTGATTGTCCCAAGCTTTTGTCATAGTGTCAAACTTTGGTGAGGCAGAGTCCTGCAAAACACTGCCGCCCATACCTCCACTGCCTCCACTACTGCTGCTGTTGCTGCTGCTGCTCCCATCTCCTCCTCTTCCACTTCCTATTGCTAAGTTACTCGAACTTACAGCTCCGGCTGTGCCGCCCCACTCTGCTTCTGTACTGCCTCCTTCCCACGCTCCCTGAGATACCACTGGGGTATTTGAGCTACCATCATTTCCCCTACCCCACCCTGCCTTGTCACCCTGGCCTCCAAAGCCCCACACACTCCCTTCCTGCCCCTGAGCTCCAGTCCCTCCTCCACCCCACCCATCTGCCTGTGAGGCACCCGTGCACAGGTCAGAGGACAGTGGAGGCATGGATCTCCAAGAAGAGGAGGCAGCAGAGGAGGAAGACGAAGAGCCAGAATGACTGCCACTGCCTTCTCCATCAACACTAGCCGGCCGACAGCCCCCCTCATCGCCACCACCTTCTTGATTTGGTCCTGTTCCTCTTGCTCCCCCGCCTGAACCCAACTCTGGTCCTAGGTTTCCAAAGTGCTGCTGCTGCTGCTGCTGTTGCTGTTGTTCTCCACTCCGTGCTCCCACCGCCGCCTCAGTGTGCTGCTGATGGAGACCAGTTTGATTCACAGATGAAAGAGAGTGAGTGGTGATGAGCGTAGTGCTGGCAGAGAACGAGGAAGCTGAATTAATGGACGAGTGTAGTGGAAGGCCGTCGCTAGCCGGAGATGATGTCCCACCCTGCACCAGGGCAGGCCAGGCGGAGGGGTTCACGTTGGGGTTGAAATTGGCACCAGGGACACTGCTGCTGTTGCTGCTGCCACCCACAGGGCTCTCCTGAGGCCCAGGAAGAAGACGGGAGACTTTGGAATTGTAAAATGCTGCTGATCCCAGCCCTGACTCCACCTGAGAGGGGGTGGAAGAGCCCCACACACCACCACTCGACTGAACACATTCATTAAGCGAGGAAGAGGAGGAAAGAGGAGAAGAACGAGGCGAGGAAGGATTGTCCATGTTCCCTGCTCCTCCTACTGCTGCTGCTGCTCCTCCCTTCTGCTGGATGTTTCTCTCACTCCATGAGGCACTACTGTAGTTGTTGTTACCAGGGCAGTCTTGCTCCTGCACCCCTCCTCCTCCAGCCCGGTCAGAACTCAATTTGGCCCCTCCGAGGATGCTAGGCCAATCCCCCAGGTCCGTCCCATCAACAATCACCTTCCCGCAGCCCTGAGAAGAGGACTGGCTGCCAGAGCCTGCCCCCCATGTGGAATTTGCATAAGTTGAAGTAGTAGTAGAAGAAGACGACAGAGCAGCAACACATAATGACGATGAGGAGGAGTTGGGGGGTGAGGCGGACGATGAACCAAGGTTGGAATCTATATGGACAAAAATTAAGTAAGTCATTGACAATACTAACTAATGACACAGTCGCGTTTCTAAACATACATGGTTTTAAGGTACATTCATTGTCATTGTACAACAGGGTTGCGTGACGAAATGCAGTTTGTAGCGGCTTGTAGCTGCGGCATTCAGTGAACTACATATCAAAGTTGATCATCTGTTTTTGTTACAAGACATTAACCCACCTGTGCCTCCAGCTGTGTTTGCATTGGGGTCATCTGCTGCTTGTGAGGAAAGCGATGGGGCGGCTTCCCAGCCACTGCCTCCACCAACCCCTCCTGCACCCCCTTCCCCTCCGCCTCCCCCCAGCAGCATGGAGGACAGCGGTGGCTGGCCCCTCTTCAGTAGCACTTTTTGATCCTGCTGGCAGCGAAATCTTGGTGGAACCTCTCTGGACATGTATCGCTGCTGCTGGGAGCTCTGGCTTCCAGAGGGGGAGGAGGAGGGCTGTCCGTTGGCCACAGCAGTCCGCTGCTTTGCATTGTTCCCGCCACCAGGAGGAACTTGTGCAGAAACCCCGGCTGCAGCAGGACTGGGGGATGAGGGGGCAACAGGGCCAGGGCTGGGGGACACTGAGCCTGGGGTGGCGAGCGGCTGGGAACAGGAGGGCTTGGCTGATTCTGGCACTAAAAACACATTTAAAGAAAAGGTGTGAACCACTGGTAGACTCAAGTACGGTGAGAAGAGAAAGACAGTTTGGGTATGTTTCTGAGCCACAGCTATGTTTAGCTTCTCTATAGCTTTAAAAAGTTTAAGAAAATACATCTAAAGTGTGAGCATAATTGTGAATAACCCATGGTCATCACAATACATTAAAGTTGTCATAAGAACAAGGTAGTGCTGATTAAAGCATATTTAACAACAAGGCATAGAAATCATGCCACTGACATGATAATATGGAATAGTGAGTGATAAAAGGAAGACATGTCTGACGATGAAGGGAAAAAAGGTAAAGTGGAAAAAAACATACCTTTGACTTTCTGTTCTGGCACCTAAAACAGAAAGAATAAGTGTGTCAGATATAACGTAGAAGAGAACATACTTGCCTTTAGTCTTGCTACTGTGACTGAGAAAATTGACTAGCAAGGCACTATTTAGCAAACATTAAGAATATGGCATTGACTATTAATTTTACAATTTCCAAACATGACAAAATCTAAGCTACCTAGTAAAATATTCCAATTCAACCAAAGCAATTTCCCCCCCCCCCGGTTATCTGCAAAGCACAGAGGCAAAGTCAGCTGTGGATTATTTTGGTGAACATGTTTACCTTCTGAGAGGTTTCTCTTTTCTTTTTATCTTCTTTCTTCTTTTTCTTGTCTTCCATGAACTACTGCTCCCTTTCCTGATTCTCCTGTCTGTGAAGAGAAATGTACACATTCAATTATTCATGTTACATCTCAAGGCGCACTGAAAGTAATTTAATCCTCACCAAAGCACACCTTTTCACACACTGACTTTGACTGAAAATGGATAATGCATACTACACCAGATTACTGTCGAGTATTCTATGACACAGTCAACGCAGTGAGGACGGTAAAGTTAACCAGGGGTGGACAGCTTGACAACAGCCCTTGGAAGCCTAGCTTCTCATTGCATAATTCATTAACCAGCAAACCATTGCAATTCACACTAACAGACAACACCGGCAGCAGCCAAACAAACTCTCAAACATCTCTATAAAAGTAAAGTTCTTCTACATCACTGTAGAGACTGTAATGGCAGCATGATCCACAGGACACTAGCTTCAATGTGAGTAAAGTTACGTGACTTGATCTGTCCAGTGTTATGAAGACACGCTCTCCCTGACTTCACACTTGCTTCCCACCCTACCAAAAGTAAACATCTGTATTATGAAAATATACAACTCATACCTAAGTCACGTGAGCCTTATTTTGTGGAAAAACAAAACACACCACGGAAGGCTGAACAAAAACAATCCGATTTTATCTGGAAATGTAAAGGCATCTCAGATACCAGAGAGCTGTAAATACGACTGGGCCCAGTGTTTCGGTTAGCTAAGCTGCACATAATTAGCATCATGTCACACTGCGCTAATGGAAGCTAACTGCACAACGAATGGATTTAACCCTTCACTGTATCCTTTATAATTTAATCAGCTGGCGTGTCCATTAATAATCAGTCTATGTAACGTCAGGGAACCCCTACAAGGCAATAGTTAGAAGAAAACAGTCGTGGAAATAACAGGCCAGCAAGGAATGGCTGTGCAGCTACTAGAGATCACAAGAAGAGCTTCACTTGGCCGAGCAATTAGCTAATGCTAGTGGACTCTAAAGCAGCTGGTGAGCACCGTGTCGTGACCTAAAGAGCAGGGGACTGACTGTCCAAGAGCCTCTGTCGTATCCGCGCGACGAAACTAACCTCTAACGTTACGCAGTTGACTGCAGACAACAGGCACGTCACATTAGCTAACGGTAGTCCCCTTTATTGTCAAAAACAGTGCATTTAATTTGCAAAACTTTACGGTTATAATTCGTAACTTCACAATGGGAACGCAACACTTCTGACAAGTCGTTGGTCGGACTGCTAGCTAGCTGGTTCATCAGCAGTAACGGTCGACAGGGCCAAATTAAAACGACGAACTTCGGTGACGTTTCTTCAGCATAGCGCGTAACAAGCGAAGCTCTTCTAAAATAGAGAAACCCAAATGTTGTAGGCGGTGTAGAGGAGGAAATAACTAGCGTTATTAACGAGCACACACATTATGGAAGCTACCAAAGCCCATGCCGTTGAATACTCACCTCGGGAATCACATAGGACATAAAGTGCTTCTGTGCAAAAATTCTTCCAGACCTACCGCTAGCAGGCTAGCAAGGTGGCTAGCCTAGCGAGCTAGTTCTTCGAGGCTTTCAAGGCTAAATTGAATAAGAAATGACATCACCGAAAGGCGAAATGTTAATCGTAGAAAAAAATGAGGAAAGGCGATTATCCTTTTCGAGCGACTATAGTTTCTCAAGGTGTAAACAAACCACGCACAACCCCTTGATGACTGTCAGACGCTGTATGATCGGTTAGTTTACTATCGGCCATTTTGCTTCTGTGTGGAGGTTTAGCCAGCATATGATATCACCAGGCTGGTTGTTGATCAGAGGACGGAGGAGGAGCGGGGCGAGTACCGACACTGCCCACCAGGGGGCGTCTTATCACTGGAAACATGACGTCATACACGCTGAGCACCAATAAGTATACAAATCGCTCACAGTCTGTGAATAAATTACCTGCGTAACACCGTAACTGATCGCTTCTCTGAGCTGCATATTGAACACAATAAGCCTTTTACATGTTTTAGCTATTTATTCCCTGTATGAACATGTATAATTGTGCGCGCTACACTGGTTTTGATTCTGGTTTTGATTCATGAGAAGTAGTTATGTATTTATATTTTTCATAACGAACATTTGAAAATTATTTTTTTGATTGTCCAAACTGTTTTTTAACCGTTTACAAGACTTTGTTTGTAAAGTAGGTTTATACTTTGCCTCAGTGACATAGAGTTTTGGTCAATTTTAACCAACCTTATAGTGGGAATTAATACAAAATATATAGTTTAGTCTAGTTGAGTGGATTTGCTTTTGTATAACTTGGTATACGTTATGTGTTTCAGATTATTAGTAGTCTTTAATTTCTTCACTGAATCTACTGCACTGATACAGTGTTGTAATATTTCAATAAAAACATCAACAATTAGATCAAGTCTGTTGTACAATTGAGCATACAAGACATCAACTGTTTTCATATACATTTATTTAAAAAAAAGATTTTGCAGTACAAAACAAGACCATTTTGTCCAAGTGAGAACTACAGCTTCTGTTGCACAGTTTAGTGTAAATAAAAATGCAGCACTTGCTGACTTTCAGTCATTCACATCCCACCTAAAAATAGCCACAAATTTAGTTTTTCTCTTTGAAATCTGTTCATATAATTACAGTTATGTTATTGGTTTACATCTCAAACATTATGTCAGCCCAAAAAGGACGCAGTATTTACTCCAGATACACGTGGATAAGCCAATTAGCACCCTCCACTACATCCCTGCTTACAACTACTACAATCCCCTTCACCTATTTTGTACCTCTTTGTGTCCTCACAGCTTAAATTTCCACTTACAACATAATTGAATACCCAGGGACCAAAGTGCCTTAAAAAATGGGCACCTTGTGTTATCCCTTGAATGTTTAAAATACAGTAAGAAAAAATAAAACTGTGTGAATGGGAAAAAGTAACATGACATAATTCCTGTTGATAAAAACAGCTAACAGGGAGGTCTGTATTGCCATGTACCTTCCATATGTGGTTCAAATCTGTTTTAGTTTTAAAATGTTTTTCCTATTCTCCCATTGTAACAAGTCCAGCTTGGCTACAAAGATGAGAATTATTTAGAATTATTAAGATGACAAGTAAATCCCACTCCCTTAGAACAGTATGATGATCTAACACTGAATGTTAATTGTCTCCAAAAACCTGGCTGTGGTTTGGTACCTGCTGCCAGCTGCCAGATTCTTGATTCAAAGAGGAGAAAATCTAGTTTGAAGTTTTGCATAATGAAAGTAAATATTCTGTTTCTCCCTTCTACTGCAGCCTATCCAGTTCGATCCATGCCACTGCCCTCTGCTGACTGTGGATGGCATTACGTATGGCTGCCAGCAGCTCATCAGTACAGCTCCATGTGCTGGGCTCCAGGGTGTAGTAGAGCAGGGGCAGTGTCTCCAGCTGCAGCTCCTCGGCCTGGCACACCTCCTCCATTACTCTGTCCTCCCCACACCGTGGGAAAAACTTCCTATTTCAAGTGTTGGAGCGTCATATGCAGCAAGTTAGAGGGAAAAACGTTGGGTTCTTTAAAACAACAGCAACACTTTTTTGTATATCTGTATGGTAAGAAAACACCACACGATCTGCAGATGGAGAAAAATGCAAATTTACCTTACAATGTGAGTGGCGTGAAATGTGTGGTGAACCTGCACGAGCCTGATTGATGTACCATCATGCTGCTATATGATCTGATGCGTACTTACTGTTACACTGCATTTACTGTACTTGCCAAGCAAATGGGTGCCCACGTACCTCAGCTTCTTGTGCTTTTTGTTCTTAGGGCAGATATGGATGACGATAGGGTACACCCCCTGTCTCAAAAAGCCCTCAACACTGGGCAGCCCGAGCTCCAGCAGACAGTGCTTGTCCTGAGACAAAGACGGAGATTTGGACAATGCGTGACAATATGCATTCATTATCATCAGCAAAATGAAACACTCTTCTGTCTTTTCCTTGAGAGAGACTTGGAATGTTTGTGCCTTGCGATTATTTCAGCGATGATGTGTTTTTTTAATTACCTGGCTGATGACGTCCTGTATCGACTGCAGCCATATTCCCAGAGTCGTCTCTGGACTGCAGGGATCCAACAGGAACACTCTCTTGTCTCGTCTCTCTGAAGCCTGGATAGGCTCTGTAAACCACAGGAAACAGAGGAAAGAGGAGACTGTGGTGTATCACGCCATGGTCAAATGAGGAATCATCAACCTTTTCGGTCACCGGGTCTATCATTGTTTGGGACGTGAATAAGTGTGTGTGCTGTGCGCATACCTGGTGGGCAGGTGTTGAACTTCAAACCAGACTCTGCTGGTTGCAGCAGCCTCTCTATGAGACCACGGGAGAGAAGAGAGGGGGAGAAGATGACCGGCCGCTTAGTCTGAACCTGCACCGGCTGCACTAAACTGTACGGGATCAAGTGCTCCCCGTGACCTGAGGGGACAGGCACACATGAAGGTGACATTAATGCACAGCTTGTAAATACAAAAAGGATACTGAAAAAATAAGAAAAAAAACATCACACAGATTTGGTGTTGCATTCTGGGAACACTGGGGCTGGATCTTACGTTTGCTGAGTGTGTAAAGGACCTGCTGTGTGGAACCAATCCCACGGCAACTGGGGTCCGTTGCCTTGACCAGTCGTACACGTCCGGATGCTTTCTTCAAGAACTACATGTCGGAAAATGGAGACAAATAAACATTTAGTAGTCGTTTGTAGGAGTTATGTAACAGTTTGGTTTAGCACAGTGACTGAAAGGGAACCAGCGTGTCATTTCAATATGAGCAGACTGACCTTCCTCTTGAAGTCCTTTTGCTCCAGGGCCATTTTTCGTAGCCTAACAAGTAACAATTGTTGTGCCCTGAGATGGAAAATACTTATTTGTCATCTACACTCTTAATTGGCATAATTAACAGGCGGTACTTATATTCTAATATAATAAAAACAAAGCTCAATAGCCAGAATTAGAATAAGGTTGCAGTCAAATCAAGGTCCAACTGGCGTACCTGTTGTAGTTGGGCATGGTTCCTGCCTGCAGGTGCTTGGCTGTGTATGGGTCCACCAGGGAACAGTGCCAATGGTATTTCCCATTGTATCTTGTGTCTGTGACGTGTATAATGTCATCACAGGACACACCCAGAGACGGCGGGTCACCGCGAGGCTCCATGCTGATATTAACACGCACATAGAAGGAGTCAGCACCCATACAAGTGGGCGACGAGAGGTGGGAGCACAGTTTGGAGTATGCTGAGGACAGGAAACAGAAGAGGGGAAAGATAGTCTCATCTCTCTGAGACATCAATGAACAGAGGTTTCAAGAATACCCTATTACAGTTTTATGTAAAAATATCTGACAAAAAAATGGACTCACCCTCTGGGTTGCTCTGGTGTTTGAGCGTTGAAGGCTCAGCCCACCACTGCAGTGAAAAGTGGGCTACCTCAGCAGTGCACTGGCCCAGCAGCACACTGCCCCCACCAAACAGAACCCTCTCCAGCTGGACAACATTAAGAGAAATGTGCACGTTCAATCAAGGAGCTTGTTTAAAAAAACCCTTGTACACTCAGAACTGTAATGGGCACTTGTCCAAATAATACACATGTAAGCATTAGCTGAAGCACACCTCTATCATGAAGCATGTACATACACACAATACTCACACATGATTTATGCACTATACAGACGCACCCACACACACACACACACACACACACACACACACACACACACACACACACACCTCCAGCAGCTCACTGCCCTCCTTCAGTCCACATAGTTCAGCTTGGGAACCAGCTCTCACGTGGCTGACGAAGATCCCCGTTTGGTTCCCTCCGACTATCGTAATATCGTCAGCTAGACTGGCTCTCCTGTGCTTTGGTGAGATGGGGGGGCTTGAGGACGGGGAGCAGGAGGGTGTGCTGAGAGATGGCAGGGATGGGCAGCATTAGATGAGGATGGCGTGACATGTACATGAGGCAAAGATTTGGCAAAGAGCAGTGCAACTAGTCTATTCACTTCATATAATCAAAAGGTTCACTTTTATGCTTGTTCTGTGCTCTAAGATTTTCTTTCATCCACATGTTGTATGGAAAACCGTTGGACCCAATTATTAATGATGTTAACCACTGAGTTCTGTTAAACTGCATCTGCTAGAAATATTGTTTCGGTTGCATTTTGAGGATTCCACAAACAAGATTCAGGTCGTGCAGTTGTGTTACAGTCATGTAAGGTCAATGGGGGCAATAATCACGCCATACCTTTGTAAAATAAATCATCATTCTTATCTATGAAGCTGTTAGATGTTGCTGTAAGCACTTTATAAGTGACATTGGTTATTAAGCAGGAAGCCATCACATACATAGTCATAGTGTGCTTTAACAATGTTTTTTAGTGGCTGTCATTGACAGGCATTTAATCCGTTATGTTGTACCTGGAATCACTAGGACTGGGCTGGTGTGAAGAGACTGCAGGCAGGTTGACCAGGTCAGGGGGGAAGAGATGAGAGTGTAGGGAGGTCCAGGAATCCCACAAAGAAGGTTCACTCGGATCACCTAAAAAACACCAGAGAGCCTCGTAACTCACGCTCACAACGTACTACATGCAAAGGCTGTAAAACCACAAGGTGAAGTTTTAATTAATTTTATTTTTGACCGAATCAAATATACCTGTAATGTTATCATTCTCATCACTGCCCCACGATTCCGAGTCAAACCTATTCAGAGCAGAAAAAAGGGACTTTAATGAGAATGAAATGAAACTAGTTATAACAGACATTGTGTATCGTGACGTGGGGCTGATTAACTCACTCAGTGTTGACTCGTCGGTTGATGGAG